GTTTCATAATAGTTCATGGCTGATAAATCATTTATCATTTCGACAAGCTTCCAAGAAACGATCAAGTGTATTAACACCTAGTTGAATGTTCATTAACATTCACGGACTGTCTTCATCCTAATGTATTGTTTTTAGCTAAGCAGTAACTTATTCATACTCAGATAATAGACTGGCAAATTAGTCGATCTAAAACATACTGGTGGTAGGACCTCTTGTGAGTCCGCACGGGTAGGTACCACCACCCCGCCTATTTTCTGCCGTGAAGCAGTAATGCGTTGCGGTTTGAACTAGTTTGAAGGGTGGGGCAGCCGTTATAACTATACTGAGCCCTTAAAACTCATATCTCAAGGCGGTTGGCGGCATTTTATGGATGCCTATGGACTCCAGTAACCACTTAACACCAGGTGGGCTGTAAACTCGTCCACCCATATTAGCAATAAAATAAAAAAACATTCTAAGTATCTATTTTACTTGAAATTCTCTTTTATATTAAAAACGATTTCATATCATTCAATTATTCACTTGTTGCCAACAAAACGGTAATCCTATCATTTATTTTCGAACAATAACAATGGAGGCGCTCAATTAATTATAATTAAATTGATCAAATTTCGAATCTCAAACCGATATCAAAACATTGTTTAGAGTTAGTCAGAGTCAATTATATTCATACCATTCAATTCGATCTACCGAAATTAACTGATACAATTTTGTACGAGTATTGTCTAAAAATAAAGGCTGCTGTTAACTGCTTCTCTAAAATAATGTTACACCGGTAAGAGTAACGCCATCTATCGCCGAATAGCCAAACGAATATCGAAGGATCTAGTAGAATCTTGAACGCTCGAGAAGTACAACGCCATCTATTGTCAGATAACGGAAACACAATAATCGACTTGTGTGGAACATTCTCGATAATTCGAGGGATGTGGTACCGGCTATGAAAGCGTTGCAGAGATGGCATGCAGTCAGTCAGTAAACGGAACTACTCGAAGCGAAGCAGCGAACGGGTCACCTGAAGCGAAGCGGAAAAAGCGAATTGAGGGTTTTAAAGTGTTTTTGAGTGTTTTAAGTGCTAATACAGTGTTCACTTGTAGTTTGATGAAATTTTATTTATCCCGGACCCCAGCGCGTAACAATAACATTCTTTGTTTTAGAGGATACTTTGTTCTGGAAGTAGCATTCACATATGATGCGTATTAGTTAATATAGTATAATGCGGAGTGGTTCGTGTCTTTGTTAGTTCATTTAAGGCAATAAACGCAGTGAATTGAACACGCTTAAATGACCTGTATGTGTATGCATTACGGAATTTTTGATTGTTAATTTCACCAACTTTAAAATATTCACTTTACTTGCCAATTTGCATGCATTCGACCGATAAGAGTATAATAATTTTAGTAATTTGGCCGAATTAAGTAGATTCGCCAGAACAAAATATTAATATTGATTGATATTAATGGTGATTTTTATTTGGCTTTATTTTGAACTGTGTATATTTTATCAAGCAATTCTTGTATACTAATATATATGTATATAATCTGAATCTCGGAAACGGCTCCAACGATTTTTATAAAATTTAGTATACAGGGGATTTCGGGGGCAATAATCTAGCTACAATTTATTTTGAGAAAATGTTGTTTTATTCGTGTTTTCAATAATCAACTCTTCCCGACATCTATTGGCGAATAATAATACTATTTTTCTTAATTGAGGGCAACTAACCGCTTTAAAGACACGAAAAGATGGCGTTATCAAAAAAAAAACCGAGAAAAGCTCGGTCATCATCTAGTTAACTTAAAATAAGTGAAATGTAATATGAAATAAATGTATTTTAGAACAAAGAAAAGAATTAATTATTAGCAAACAATGATAACATTTTATGAAGTGTCACACTTGTCGCGCAATTCTCATGTTTTATTCACGAATTTCATGAATTCACCGTAAATCTTTCTTCCTTCGATTGACTTCGACGGTGAAGGAATAACATCGTGTAATAAAAAAAACAAAATTATAATTTGCGTAATTACTGGTGGCAGGACCTCTTGTGAGTCCGTACGGGTAGGTACCACCGCCCCGCCTATTTCTGCCGTGAAGCAGTAATGCGTTTCGGTTTGAAGGGTGGGGTAGCCGTTGTAACTATACTGAGACCTTACCAGATGCATTTACGTTATAGCTGTCTATGGGCTCCAGTAACCACTCAACACCAGGTGGGCTGAGAGCTCGTCCACCATCTAAGCAATAAAAAAAAATCTTAACACTTTGAAATGTAATTCAAATTCAAATTCAAAATTCAAATTCAAAATCATTTATTTCAACTTAGATGTCAGTATGACACACTTGTTGAATGTCAAAATAAAAATAACAATGTTAACTCTACCACCGGTTCTAAAAAAAGCCACAGTCCCGAGAAGAACCGGCGAAACAAACTCAGCGGGCTTTTTTTTTGTTTTTTCTCAAATATTTTCTTTTTTTAAAATGAATAAAAATATTTAAAATAAAAGAAAAAACAAGTCAAAAAATACAATTAAAAAAATAATTATAATAATGAAAAATGAAAAGGTCAGGAGCGAGCGCCTCATTCCTACGTAGTGCCATCTAGTAAATAATCCTTAACTTTATAATATACCTTGTTGCACAAACGTTCCTTAATAGTTTTCTTAAATCTATGAACAGGTAGTAATTGAACGTTTAGTGGGATCTTGTTGAAAAGCTGTACACCCAGCCCGCTAAAAGAGTTGCTTATTTTCTTAATTCGAGCCGCCGGCAACGCAAGCCTATGTTTGTTCCTAGTGTTCACATTGTGCAAATCGCAGACTCTGGGGAATTGTTCAATGTTTTTACGCACGTACAATAAATTTTCAAAAATGTATTGGGACGCTAAAGTTAGAATTTTGATTTCCTTAAACTTGTCCCTCAAGGATTCCCTCGGGTGCATATTATAAATAGCACGAATAGCCCTCTTCTGCAGGATTAAAATCGTTTCGACATCGGCAGCATTGCCCCATAGCAATATGCCATAGGACATAACACTATGAAAATAACTAAAATAAACCAGGCGTGCCGTATCTTCATTAGTATACGTTCGTATTTTTTTTACCGCAAACGCAAATCTTAAATTAAAGTGTGAAAGGCCATTATAAAGTGAAACTTTTTAGCATCGTCACAGTAAACATTAGCAGCAGCTTTTGTTAGAAACAATTTACTTAGTGATAAGGCCTCCCGCATGTGTAGGTTCCACCATCCCGTCTATTTATGCCGAAGTGGGGTAGCCGCTATATAACTGAGAAGCAAAATTAATGTCCAAATTCCCAATGTAGGTGGCGGTATTGAAACAGGGTGCGCTGATATCATTTGCCTATAAAGATGAAAAATGAATTGAATACAATTAAGTTAAATATTTATGTAGATAAGACTGTTTAATGATTTCTTCAAGTTATAGACGTATTCACAAATACTCCGTTCACGGGAAAATATGTTATTACTGTGACTTCCAGATGCTTTGGAGACAACTTTTTTTTTTTTTTTATTGCTTAGATGGGTGGACGAGTTCACAGCCCACCTGGTGTTAAGTGGTTACTGGAGCTTATAAATATCTTCAACGATATTGCTATCACTCACTATGAGACAAGAGTTCTAAGGTCTCAGCTTTAACAGTACAAGGGCTGCCCCGCCCTTCAAACTGAAACACATTATTGCTTCACGACAGAAATAGGCAGGACAGTGGTACCTACCCGTGCGGAATCACAAGACATCGTAACACCAGTAAGACGCCCTGCCACTAATTAGAGCTTGGTAACATTTTCCTTTGCAATTCCCTTAACATTAAAATCAGTACAATTTTTTTTTTATTGCTTGGATGGGTGGACGAGCTCACAGCCCACCTGGTGTTAAGTGGTTACTGGAGCCCATAGACATCCACAACGTAAATACCCATCTTGAGATACAAGTTCTAAGGTCTCAAGTATAGTTACAACGGCTGCCCCACCCTTCAAACCGAAACGCATTACTGCTTCACGGCAGAAATAGGCAGGGTGGTGGTACCCACCCGCGCGGACTCACAAGAGGTCTTACCACCATTAATTACGCAAATTATAATTTTGCGGGTTTCATTTTTATTACACGATGTTATTCCTTCACCGTGGAAGTCAATCGTGAACATTTGTTGAGTACGTATTTCATTAGAAAAATTGGTACCCGCCTGCGGGATTCGAACACCGGTGCATCGCTTCAACACGAATGCACCGGACGTCTTATCCGTTAGGCCACGACGACTAAATTAAGTACTAAAAAATTAGGTACTAAAAGTGTACGAAATATAGTTATATGTACTTATTTTTGATAAATCAGTTTGTATATATATTTTTATCATCTCTAGGATATGAGGAATATAGTCCTAACAAAAGTGCTCCGTAAAGGTCACGACCCTCAGCACTGAGGAGTAAGACGCACGGAGGGGTTGGAGGAGTACATGATAAGTGATTGTATATCATTTAGTAAGATCTATTAAAGCCGAGCCGATATGCAAATGCGCCGCCTACGAGATGACGCCTACTTATTTGATCCATTTCTGCGTCACACTAATAACAACATTTTAAAGTATATATTTAACTAGCAACCCGTCCTCGCTTCGCTTCGGAAACATTAAATTTTATTATTGATAGCTGGGTCCCGCGATCTTACCCGCGGTTATTGTTGTACCGCGGATGACTACTGAAGCTAGTCTAAAAAAAGTAGCCTAAGTTACTCCTTATATCATGAGCTACTTATCAGTGAAAATCTTTTCAAAATCGATCCAACAGTTCAAGAAATTAGCCGGAACAAATAAACAGACAGACAGATAGACAAAAATTGTAAAAAATGTTAATTTCATGTATATACCATAAATATATTCATATGCATGTAGTAAAAAGCGGTTATTTCAATACTACAAAATGACACTCCAATTTTATTTATATGTATAGATTATTTTCCGTTTCTAATCATCTTCTTTATTTCAGAATGCGCAATCAGTCCTCATCGGTGGCTCCTGTCAGGTCCCGGATCCGCTTTACAAGGCCATTGGTTCGATAATATCCTTCTACATACCTCTTGGAGTGATGTTGCTGACATATGCACTGACAGTTCAGCTACTGGCCAGACAGAGGAAGGGATTGGGTGCAGGATGGGCTCCAGGCTGGCTGGGTGCGCCTACTATGGGTATCTATATGCATGTGGTAGTAAATTTCTTTTTTTTTGGTTTACTAATCCGTGGTTCGAGCATTCATATAAAAATCTAGTATTCAGATAGAATTGTTGAAAAAATGACAAAAAATAGTAACCTATAATTAATAAAGCAATTAAATCAGTTACAAATAATATTATAAATGACAGTTGTAGACAATTACTGTATCAGAGGCATATACATATATAAAGGTCACTAACGCTAAATTATCTTTTCAAATCTGATCTGATTCGGTTATTATAATACTAGCGACCCGCCCTCGCTTCGCTTCGGAAACATTAAAACACACATGAAACCAAAAAAATAAAATAAAAATGTGTGCGTGTACTAGTGTACACACGTAAGAAGTGAAACTTGTTTATGGCCTTATTTTTCGAAAAATGATCTACATGCAACTTTCTAGAAATTGGTTAAATAAAGTTAAATTAGATAAAGTTTAAACAAAAGGATTTTATTATCATAGACATGAATACAAAAAAGTTAAATTAGATAAAGTTTAAACAAAAGGATTTTATTATCATAGACATGAATACAAAAAAGTTAAATTAGATAAAGTTTAAACAAAAGGATTTTATTATCATAGACATGAATACAAAACAGATGGCGCGTAACGGAAAAAAGTGACGCGTAACCGAAAAATGTGACGATAAATTTTTTTCCAACGCCGATAAGGAAGTTTCACTTCAAAAATAAATAAAAAAAAGTAGCCTATGTTCATCAGAGACAATGTCGGCTTCTAATGGAAAAAGAATTTTTCAAATCGGTCCAGTAGTTTCGGAGCCTATTCGAAACAAACAAACAAACAAATCTTTCCTCTTTATAATATTAGTATAGATTATAGTATACGAAATAAAAATGGCTATCTTAAGTTGCTTAAAAATGCTCAATCATATGGCCTTTCCCATTTAAAAACGGTGTTATTGTAAGAAGGGAACTATAAGCATCATTTTTTAGTACAATCGCTAAAATGCGTACATTACCCGAATTATTTCTGTCGGTTTGTGAACTCAATTATTAATAGCTATTTCCATTATCTAAATCAATTGAATGTCGGGCACATATTGTCTCTAATTTGATAATGCACGGGTATTAAATATACATTACGTTTGCAAGATTAATGTCACTTATCCAAAAAATATTCGAATATATTGTTTACATTATTTTTGTGTGGTATTGTTTTTGTGTGCTTTTTTACGGTAAACATAATAATACCTCGGTTTCGGAGTTTATTTTTTTGGTATTTCTGTATCGGTGTCAAAATTTTCCATTACTTCACTGATAATTAGCAAACGTGTCAATAAATTTATAATTGCAAACAAAACATACACGATCACGGGGCCCCCAATTAAAATTCTCTGCTTTGTTTTCTTTCAACAACCCACTTATATGTACTTATTAAAGTAGTTTATATCCCACATGCACGTTTTTTAAAAGTGGAGGCTTCTTTAAAAAGAGCAACAAAATTTTTCATTAATATTTTATCAATTTAAAATCGGAAAAAAAAAAACGAATTAATCCAGCAATCAGGAGCCTTACCAATAAAAGTATTGAAAGTAGCCATATTAAAACGAGATTTAGTTTCAAGGATGAACGTTTTAATTATTTTTCGTTTACGAAAATAAAAATTAAAAAAAAAAAAAAACTCGCAAAGGCCCGTGTAACGAGCGGCCAATCAAAAAGCAAAATTAATACGTTCGAAGCGAGTGCTCTCCGATGGGAGTAAAATCCATTAAATCCTCATCACTCCCGTATGACTGCAGCATATTGTAATACTTTATTTGCTTTACAACGTATTTTATTAAAAACGGTATCGATCATCTATCTATCTATATAAAACAAAGTCGTGTTAGTTACACTATTTATAACTCAGGAACGGCTGAACTGATTTGGCTGAAAATTGGTGAGGAGGTAGTTTAAAACCAGGAGAAGGACATAGGATACTTTTTATCACGTTCCCGTGGGACGCGACATAAAACGTGGTATAACAAAACGCAACTGATATGAAGTAACAAAACGCAACTGACAGCTAAACGTTATATATTCTATGGTTAGTTATAGTAGAATTTTTAAGTTGACCGGTTGATGTGTTTGAAACAAACCGTGTGGCGGAACAAAGTTCGCCGGGTCCACTAGTAAGTATATAAAAATGAATTGCTGTTCGTTAGTCTCGATAAAACTCGAGAACGGCTGGACCGATTTGGCTAATTTTAGTCTTAAATTATTTGTGGAAGTTCAGAGAAGATTTACAGGGTAGATAAATATGAAAATGCTCGGATTAAATAAAAGTAACAATTTTGTTTTTCCTTTGATGTGGGACACTTTTAGTGTAGTTACAATTGTTGATCGAAGCTTGAGACCATAGAACTTATATGTCAATATGGGTGGCGTATTTACGTCATAGATGTCTATGAGCTCGAGTAACCACTTAACACCAGGTGGGCTGTGAGCTCGTCCACCCATCTAAGCAATAAAAAAAAAAAAGATACAAAGACAACACATAAATACGTTAACTTAACTATGACACCTGAAATAATATGACACCTGAAAATTACTCTTCAAGCTACAGCTTCTCATTTACAAGCTACTCATTTGTACAGCTGTGTACTCGCTCGGAGTACAAAATATGTTTTTGTTGTTTACCTTAAAATTGTCTATAGTCTGTAGGGTTTTATTGTCATTTACGACCGCGAAAATGGCTTTTAAAAGTATAATTAGTCATTACTTGTATTAAACCAAGGCCAACATGTGGTATATATACGCTAATATGACAGACAGACTCACCCAGAAATCAACGAACAATTAATTGACATTTTGTTTTGATGTAATGATAATGACATTAATGAAGCTACATTTACGGTTCAATATCGCGTTTTTTAAATTGTCATTGCATCCGTCAAAGATGTCCGTGAACACGGAAAACCGCTGTAAAATAAACGAAACGACGGCAATAATCTATACTTCTATATTATATTATTATTATCTATATCTATACTAATATTATAAAGAGGAAAGATTTGTTTGTTTGTTTGTTTCGAATAGGCTCCGAAACTACTGGACCGATTTGAAAAATTCTTTTTCCATTAGAAGCCGACATTGTCCCTGATGAACATAGGCTACTTTTTTTATTTATTTTTTTATTTTATTTTTTTGGTCTCATGTGTGTTTTAATGTTTCCGAAGCGAAGCGAGGGCGGGTCGCTAGTTATATTATAAAGAGGAAAGATTTGTTTGTTTGTATTGAATAAGCTCCGAAACTACTGAACCGATTTGAAAAAATCTTTCACTGTTTGAAAACTACAGTGTTCCCAAGTGACATAGGCTATAATCTTTTTTGAAAAAAATTAGAGATCCTTACTAAAACTCCAATAATGTAACCCAAGGTGTATTTTTTACATCGCGTGCTCTGCGAAAACTATTGATGATAGAAAATTAAATAATGTACTACGACTTTGTAGAACACATTATTATTTACAGAAAGTGTCGCGACAGCATCTAACATTTATAGTTATGCCGCAATAAGTGTTCTTTTATTTAAAAAAATTAAAACAACGTCAAATATCGTTGAAATTTTTATTAAATACTCGAGTGGAGCCGGAGCGGGCCGCTTGTATAATATAATGACAGCAAGTGTAATTGTCATTATATTATAATTTACACATGTATACGCGAGAATTACTGGTGGTAGGACCTCTTGTGATTCCGCACGGGTAGGTACCACCGCCTTGTCTATTTCTGCCGTTAAGCAGTAACGCGTTTCGGTTTGAAGGGTGGGGCAGTCGTTGTAACTATACTGAGACCTGATACTGAGGTGGGTGGCGCATTTAAGTCGTATATGTCTATGGGCTCCAGTAACCACTTAACACCAGGTGGGCTGTGAGATCGCCCACACATATAAGCCAAAAAGGAAATTAACCGTAAAAGTGTTGATTATATACACTCATGAAAGAATAGAAATATTTATACCAACAAATTTCAAATGTCTTATGGTTTAAGCTGTGAAGACTCTCTATCACTCCCAAACTTTTGTCGAAGTTTTCGTTAATGCAAATCACCCGTATTTTTTAAATTGGAAACAAATAACGCACTTATATACGTTTAAATACATCGATAATAAACACCCAGACAAAGAGCAAGCCGTCCTTTTCATTACACAAGCTTTGCCCGACGTGGGAATCGAACCCAAGACCCTCAGCGCAACAGTCAGAGCCTCAACTACTGCGTCACCGAGTCAGTCTTACCTAGACCTATTGTATTTATATTATCTGAACAGAACTTGCGCCATCGAGTCAGTCTTAAGCCTATTCTATTTATATTATCTGAACAGTAATTACTGGTGGTACTCTCTAGGTCGCCGATGCACGTGGCGAAGGATCCTTGGTCCCAGGAGTGGTACACCTCAGCATTCGGCGGCCTCCACTGAAACCGAACTGCCACCGATCGACACCAGAGATCTATGGCTTCAGGATTCGAGGTGCGTATTCAAAATAATGGCCATAATTTGTTAAGAAGCCAAATGCTGACAATCGATGTTTTGCTTTCGTTGTAAAATTCTGTCATGTTAATTTATTCCCGTTGCATAAAATAATATATATCTATACATATAAATAAAATTGGAGTGTCTGTTGGTATTATTGAATAACCGCTTTTTACTACATGCATATGAATATATATTTATATGTACGGTACATACACCAAAATAACATTTTTTACAATTTTTGTCTGTCTGTTTGTCTGTATGTCTGTATGTTCCGGATATTCTCTATAACGACTGGACCGATTTTTACGAGACTCTCACTGATAGGTAGCTGATGATATACGGAGTATCTTAGGCTACTTTTTTAAGACTAGCTTCGCTTAGCCCGCGGCGTCACCTGCGGTACGACAATAGCCGCGGGTTTTTTTTTTTGTTTTTTTATTGCTTAGATGGATGGACGAGCTCACAGCCCACCTGATGTTAAGTGGTTACTGGAACCCATAGACATCTACAACGTAAATGCGCCACCCACCTCGAGATATAAGTTCTAAGGTCTCAGTATAGTTACAACGGCTACCCCACCCTTCGAACCGAAACGCATTACTGCTTCACGGCGGAAATAGGCGGGGTGGTNAGATGGATGGACGAGCTCACAGCCCACCTGATGTTAAGTGGTTACTGGAACCCATAGACATCTACAACGTAAATGCGCCACCCACCTCGAGATATAAGTTCTAAGGTCTCAGTATAGTTACAACGGCTACCCCACCCTTCGAACCGAAACGCATTACTGCTTCACGGCGGAAATAGGCGGGGTGGTGGTACCTACCCGTGTGGACTCACAAGAGGTCCTACCACCAGTAATTACGCAAATTATAATTTTGCGGGTTTCATTTTTATTACACGATGTTATTCCTTCACCGTGGAAGTCAATCGTTAACATTTGTTGAGTACGTATTTCATTAGAAAAATTGGTACCCGCCTGCGGGATTCGAACACCGTTGCATCGCTTCATACGAATGCACCGGACGTCTTATCCTTTAGGCCACGACGACGCGGGTAACATCGCGGGACTCAGCTAGTTTATAAATAGTATCTATGTATAAATATTATAACGTGAAGCAAAAGCTTTGTATCCCTTTTTACGAAAATTGCGCGAATGGAGGAGTATGAAATTTCCCACACTTACAGAGAATATAGAGAAGGAGTGCAGAATGCTAACTTTTTAATCTTTTTTAAATTTTTCATAAAAATACATTAATTTAATAAAAAAAGCATTACACACATTATCATGTGTTTGACACACACGTACATACATTTAAATACCCTTTTGTTTATTGTTAGTCTGTGATCGAATTGAGAATAGAGTAATATTGTTTGTCTTTAATATTATTTGTCTATAGTGTAGTTTTGACGAAATATGTGATTTTAGAAGTAAAGTCTTTGGCAATAGAACCATGATAATCTTCAATCTTATATTATAATTTAAATTAATAATGATGGTCGAATGTAGACTACTGGGCGAACACTAATATTTATTAATAGGGGAACAGGTAAATACCACTTATTACGTTTGTTTGTAAGCCGATTTAATTTTCATTTATATTAGCTTCTATAGACGAGATTTAGGGTTATCTTATATTATAAATAAAAATATGTACTATTTTTTTTTTTTAATAAATCGTAAGAGAAAATGTAATACATAAAATACACATCCTCATTATGTTAGGTTAATTTTAAGTTACATATAGCTAATTTTAGGTTCACTTATTATTGGGTTGTACAGGTTGCCTGATCAGTGAACTTTTCAAATGTGCAAAATTATTGCAAAGCATTCAGGTCTCTAAAATTTGGTACATTCATCTGAGGACGTATCGGAAGACCTATCCGCTAAAGTTAGGCCCCTCGTTCACCATCAGAGCTCATGCACTTCAGAAAGTGAATATTAAAAATATTCAGCGCTGATAGTAGCTAGTTAATCCTTCACAGGCTGCCTGGTCAGTGAACTCTTCAAATGTGCAAAATTATTTCAAAGCATTCAGGTCTCTAAAATTTGGTACATTCATCTGAGGACGTATCGGAAGACCTATCCGCTAAAGTTAGGCCCCTCGTTCACCATCAGAGCTCATGCACTTCAGAAAGTGAATATTAAAAATATTCAGCGCTGATAGTAGCTAGTTAATCCTTCACAGGCTGCCTGGTCAGTGAACTCTTCAAATGTGCAAAATTATTTCAAAGCATTCAGGTCTCTAAAATTTGGTACATTCATCTGAGGACGTATCGGAGGACCTATCCGTTAAAGTTGGGCCCCTCGTCCACCATCGGAGCTTGTGCACTTCAAACAGTACATATTAAAAATATTTATTGGTGATAGTAGCTAATTAATCCTTCGAAATCTCCTGTTTGTGTACGTAACCCTAGGCCATTTATTTTTAAGCTTAACACCAGACCGGCCGAGAGTTAAACTAGAGGTCACGATTTTGCAAACTCGCTCTACAAGGACAGAGTTAAAGTTTATATTCCAATAAAACTCCAAATTGCGTTTCTCGCTCTCCCTTTACGTTTTATTTGCGAACGTTACAACGGCATATAACATTTATTTGACGCATTATTGTGTGTAAGTAGAATAAAAGTTACATTGTTACTTCGATATATCATCAGTGGAAGGGCTAAAATTCAGTATGACGTCATATTCCTCATTTGGGTTTATTGAACTGTCTCGGAATGCACAGACATTAGGTCGCGTAGGCGTTTTTCATTGCTATAAATGAGATGACAAGTTCGCTGATGTATGGAATCTCAAATCATATTATAAGAAGACTTTGCGTCTTAAGGGGAAATAAACCAGTAGACTTCTATGTCCGTAGACTTAACTAGCTGACTGAATATAGCAATTTGAACATAGTTTATGTAGTATGAATGTTCACGTGTGCTCACGACCGACAGCTACTTAGTGAATTAAGTAAACGTTACGACAAAGTTGCAATTTTAAACGGCCGTCTGGTGTAGTGGTAAGTGACATGGTCACTACACAGGGGGGTCGCGGGTTCGAATCCCGCCAAGGGAAAATATTTGTATGATAAATATAAATGTCTTTTCCAGGGTTATGGATGTCTATTAAATATATGTATGTGTATAATAAAAATCTTACATTTATATCCGTTATCTGGTACCTGTAACACAAGTTCTTTACGAACTTATCACGGGACCAGTTAACGTGGCGTGATTGTTAGTAAATATTTATTTATTATTTATTTATTTTATTCGGGCGGTACAGAGTTTTGTAACCTCGCACGGTTATAACATATAATCGAGGCTTTAGACCTCATGTCTCAAAGTAGGTAGCGTCAATTGCGGCGTTGCTTTAATTAGTTTCGGTAAATACATCAAATACTTGAACCATAAAAAAAAAATACGCATTTGAAAAACAAAGAGTCAAGATTTGCATTTCAAACACAATTCGGAATATCAATTATTAGTTCAGCAGTTTCCATAGGAATGTATGTAAATAAATTCATTATTACATTACAAAAAAGAAAAAATTAGTTCACTTGTACACATAAAAGTGAATTTTTGAGATTTTCGTGAATGATAGGTGGAACACGTAATTTTACGATATTTTACACGATTTTTTTTTTGTACTTTCCAGCTGTAAATGTAAATTTTTGATAGGGTTAACGAGCTCTTGGTTCATTGGGTTACTACGGTCCATAGATATCGTTTGAAATATTTTCATTTAATGCCCCAGACTATTGTTTCGGACAGACTTTTATAGGTTAAACTTTATGCCATTTTCATAACAAAACAATCCAATAAAAAATTAAGACTAGCGTAAATACCATTGGCAAAGCCGTCCACGGATTACCCCGTCGACATTGTAGCAAAACACTTTACTACATAATAACTATTCCCGGGAACTTTTCGTAGTTCTAAACTTTGTTACGAAATGTTTACATCAGTATCGCGAGCACGCCAGGCACACATTAAAACGTTATAAGAATATCGAGTCACTTTCTTGTAGTAAAACGTGTTAAGGGATTACAAATTTTCGTGCGCTTAACATAAAGGAGAGTTTGAATTGTTTCTGGAACGAAGTTCCTTATGGGACGATGCGGAGGGGTACCCTAACCGGGAAAAAACGTCCGTAACGTAAGATTTTTATTAGTAATGCACACAGTGTACGACTTAACTTTGTAATAACGTACAAATTAGTAATGCACACAGTGTACGACTTAACTTTGTAATAGCGTTCGTTTGCGCAATACAGTAACTCTTATGCAAACAACCGTGAATGAAGTGTACCACAATAGGTTCGCACGTTACTGAATGACCGTGGGTTGTTGCGAAACTTCCAGTTTGAGTTTTGAGGTTTGAGTCTGAGGCAGAGTGTTGATGCCCACAAGTGCCGACTCACAAGAGGTCCTACCACCAGTAATTAAATTAAAATTTTTCGGGTTTGATTTTTATTACACGATGTTATTCCTTCACCCTGGAAGTCAATCGTGGACATTTGTTAAGTAGGTATTTCATTACAAAAATTAGTACCCGCCAGCGGGATTCGAACACCGATACATCGCAAGATACGAATGCACCGAACGTCTTATCCTTTAGGCCAGGACGACTTCATTGTTGTAAGACAGCCGCGGTACGATACAATTGCTGACGGTGTTCGCATTGCAATGTCGATGATCTCTAGTAACTAGGTACCACGTCTATCCATCATCAAAAGCACAAATTGATTAAAAATAGTGCTTTTGATGGTGGGCAGAAAGTTCTTGAGTGGCGACCGCGTACCGAAAGATGTAGCGTGCGAAGGCCTCCCACAAGATGGACCGACGATCTATTGAGGTTTGCGGGGATCCGCTGTATGCAGACAGCGCAGGACCGGTCTTTGTGGCGAGGCTTGAGGGAGGCCTATGTCCAGCAGTGGACGTCTGTGAGATGATAAGTACGCGTGCAACTTGGTGCACGTGAAAGAAGTGAAACTTATTTGGCGG